TATTAAATCAACATGTGTTAGACCTACTTAGTCTTAGAGACTAGGTGCCATCACGACATCCTATGGTGAGAAATTGGGGCCGTGACAAGTTAGTATTAGAGCTCTGGGTCCATAGGTGGCACGAGTCATAAACAATTTTAGTAGAGTCTTGCGGATCGGTACAGAGACGTCTGTACTTATCATCAAGAGGCTACAGAATATTAGGAACCACTCCTTTCATTCCTTATTGTGTGGCGTTGATTCATCTTGAAGCATATATCTTATATCTATTTACATCCACTCATATATGATGTTGCGCGCTCGGTTTCAACTATGCTCCGATGGTTTGTAATGCTACAGATGGGCTATGAGGGGCCCATAAATGCTCAATCATAGTCTTGAGGTATTCTCCAAACTAAGGATGCGGACATGTTGGTAGATATTCAGTTGTTCAAGTGTGGGATGCAATTTGTCACGATCCGAAATTCCCACCCTCGGGACCGTAATGGCGCCTAATATTTCACTTTCTAGGCGAGCCAATGTTAGAGCAATTTCTATTATCAAATTAAATAATAACCAAGAAACCGAAATAACTAAAATAAATCTGAATTAGAGTGAATAAGACAAAATAACAACGATGTCTAAATACCATCCCAGAACTGGTGTCACAAGTGCACGAGCGACTAGGATACTACAAATAAAAGTCTGAATGAAAGCATAATTGTCTGAAATACAGTAAACAACTAAAGAGATATGAAAGGGGACTTTAGGGCTACAAACGCCGTGCAACTGTACCTCAAGTCCCCGAACCGACAATCAATCCGAGCAATTAGTGATCATCGCTAGGACCGACTCCAAAATCTACACAAGAAGTGCAGAGTATATTATCAGTATAACCGACCCCATGTACTCTGTAAGTGCCGAGCCTAACCTCGACGAAGTATTGACGAGGCTAAGACGGGTCACTTACAATAATATGTACGCAGAATAAAGATAATGACAGGAAAGAAACGCAGGAAAAGTAACACAGTTAACTTATGAAAATAAACTCAATCCTCGAAATCAGTTAAACAAGAAACATGAGTCCTCAAATCTCGCATGGAAACACTGAAAACTAACACAATGCAACAATGAATACAAAACACACAATTCGTTGCGGCGCACAACTCGATCCCGCCGTAAAAATGCAATCCTCCCTTATTTCAACATATCAATATCAAGAATAACATGTAAAATCCGTTGTGGCGTGCAACCCAATCCCACCAGATCAATATCAATCCTCCCATATTCCACCCATTACGGCGTGCAACCCGATCCATAAACAAAATCAATGAATAATCAATTCAACAACTCAAATCACCAAAGTCTCTACGATTAAAAATATGAAAGTAACGCCATAAAGGAACCTCGTACCAAATCAAGGGATGCTACAATTAATACTAAGCAACATGACAAACCAAATATACGACAATTAAAGTGTGCTAGTAAGAAAAGTAAGGTAGGTAGTAATTAACCAAGGAATCATGGAAGAAATGAGCATTTTAATACAAGAGTAAATAGATGACAAGTAGCAAGTTTACGGCATAGAAAGCAACTAAGACATGTAACAGTTATGATATGGAATGAGATAATTAATGAAATGCGGAAAATCATGAAAACAACTATTTTGACGGTGTATATACACTTGTCACCTCGCACATACGCTGCTACACTTATAGTTCACATAGCACATAACAATCACATTTGCACGGTAAAGCCACGTGCTACCATGAACTTGCAGCCGTGATAAATATTAATTTAGTTGAACGAAAGATATATTTAAACACCATAAAACATAATAACAATCTTGAATAAAGTAAGGTGTCAAATGAAATAATGAGTTTATCTATAAAAATCAAGTAAAGTAAAATAATATACAATTTGTACGAAAGAAAGTATAAGATGGGCTTAGTTTAGAAATCAATAAAATTGAGTAAAAGTATTATTTTTAAACAAAGGAAAACATAAGTTAAATTAACGAATTAAATATAGAATTTGTTAAGGAAAAACATGATAAACATTTTAAGCAAGGTAAACATCTAACAGTGTGATGAGTATAATTTGAGGACCTAATTATAGTGAAAGTGCGATAATCATTTAGAATAACATGGCAACGAGTGAGATAACGAGTTCTATCTTAAGAGGCACATAGAATAAAGCATGTTAATAATTCTTTTATTTAAACCATTATGTTACCAACAACTCAACATAATATGATATAGTGACTCAATACAAGTCAACAAAAGTCAACGTCGGACCCGCCTTGGATTCTAAATCCAAACTTACCCGAGCGAAGCCCGAACCTATACAAGCTCACAAGAGTGAAAATCGATTCAATCGGAGTTCTATAGCTCAACCAATTCGCCAAATATTGCTCTTGGGTGTTCAGAACCCAAGAGTCTAACCCACACTAGTTGGGTCCCATGTCTCCCGAAATACTCCTCCAAAACTCGCCAAATTCGAGTATGTTGTTCTCCTAATATAGGAGAACAAGACCCCAATAGAAATCGAGAAATAAACGCCTCTAACTCATTTTCAACTTTTTAAAATTTAGTGCATAACCCTAGGTCTTGATTTAAAGAATTAAATGGGTTCTCAATTAAAATAATGGATTAAAGCTTAAACCAAGGGGATGAATCAAAGGATAATACTTAGTTTATGGTTTAGGCCTTACCCCATGGAAGAAACTTAAAAAATATCCCAATCCAAAACTTTAAAGATGAGAAAAACTCCAACAACATTAATAGCCAAAAATGCCCATTGTTCTACCTCATTTCTTGTGCCAAATGATCTCAAAACCCGATTTTGATGCTTTCAATGGATTTCCCGTGAAGTTCCAGTCAAGTTAGGCTTTTGAATCACTCCATTTGACCTTATAATGAAGGAGATATGTTGGTTCCAATATTTGGAAATAGTGCATATTTTAAATACGAATTCAGCTGCAATTTCATAATTAATCTGAAAAAATCTAGCAACCCAATTCTTAGTAAAATGATCATAAATTACTCATACGATGTCGAAACTTGATGATTTTAGTTGTTATGGTTCCAAAATTATGATACAGATATAATGGTTTAGTCAAAACATGAATCAAATATCGTTTGCTCAATATGGTAACCTTTATGCTCAAATCGACATCAAAATCAAAAACAATCACCATACAACCCAAACTTATCCAAAACTCATCGGATTTAAACCAAACGTTGTGGACATGTCCAAAATCATCATACAAACTTATTGAAATAATCAAACCCGATTCCAATTCCGTTTACCCAAAAGTCTTGGTCAACTCTTCCAACTTAAAACTTCTAAAACGAGAATCATTCTTCCAAATAAATCCCGAACCGCTCGAAAATCGAAACCAACCATACACACAAGTCTACTCAATGTCCCAAACCACTGAATGAAACGCTAAAGCTCAAAACGACCGGTCGGGTCGTTACTGCCCACTTGGTCCAAATCCAAGATCCGGACCAAAACTCGATTACTCATTCACCCCCGAGACCGGTTATGTGATTTGGTTCGAAATCAGAGCTCAATTTGAAGTCCAATTTGAGGTCTAAATCTCAGTTATATAAAATCCCTAAATTTTACCCAAAATCCTAATTTCTACCATGAAATTTCTAGATTTGATGTTAACACTCATGAAAAGTAATGGTGAATTGATAAAAAATGAACTAAAGTTGATTATCAATGAATTTGAGAAGAAAAAGTTCTTCAAAAATCGTTTCTAGAGTGTTTGAGGTTGAAAAATTGAGTGAAATGAGCTAAGTCCCGATTTTTCCCTCTTTAACCCAGCGGCAGGTGTTCGCAAATGTGAAGTCCCCATATGCGACTCACTGATCACATTTGCGTTCAGTGCGTCAGGCCTAGTGAAGTCGCAAATGCAGTATTTTGTTCGCAAATGCGAGTTGCCCCCCCCTCACAAATGCGCACCAATACTTCAAAAATGTGAAGCTCACTCCTAAGACACTATGTTGCAAATGCGACTCTGAGAACGCAAATGCGGTCTCAGCATGGTCCGCAAATGTGAGCTATTCTTCACAAAAGCAAAGTTCCAGACCCCAGCCCTTTTCACAAATGCGATGGTATGACCGCAAAAGCCTGAGATCGAAAATGCGATATCTGCATGCTTGAACCTGCAGTTCAAAAATCATAGATGATACACACCCGAAACTCACCCGAGCCCCTCGGGCGCCAAACCAAATATGCACACAAGTGTAATAACATCCTAGAAACTTGCTCGTTGCCTCAAATCATCAATATAACATAAAATAACAAGAAACGATCGTCAAAACTCATGAATTTCAATTTCAACTTTAAAACTCATTTTCACAATTTTTCACAAAACGTGCCGAAATGAGCTCGGGTCAACTCGGACCCCAACCAAACGTGCGTAAAAGTCCAAAAAATCATACGAACCTACTGAAATCGTCAAAATAACGACTCGAGGTCGTTTACCAAGAATGTCGACTGTGGTCAACTCAAGTCTCATTTTAAGCCAAAAATCACTCTTTCTTCAAAATTTTATGTAAAAACTTTTCGAAAAATGACACGGACCATGCACACAAATCAAGAAATATCAAATGAAGCTATGAGAGCTCTGAAACACTGAAATTAAGGGTAGTGTAGAACGACCTATCGGGTCGTCACGGTTCTTTTTCCAAATGAAGAATATTAAAACTAATCATTTCTAAAGATTTTAAATACGTAAAATCTTAGTTAAAACAATAAATATACTACTACTTAACTACACTTAATATCACTAGCTGGAAAAAAATTTCTCTCTCTAAAATGGCGAACCTCTCTATCGGTGCATGTTAACTAACCTGCGCCCACCATGGGAAATAGAGCAAGGATTCCATCTCAGAGAGCTCTAATGGCAAAAGAAACAGCAGAATTAAGGAGAAATCAAAAAGGAACTAAAGCAAATGTAGTAACAATTCAAAATTCCGGTGAAAAACTAGCTAGCCCTAACTCAAATGAAACAGTACCAGATCAACAAGATAAAGAGAAACAAAGGGAGATTGAAGCAATCCAAGTCTTGGGAAGAAGTTCAGGAAGCATCAACAAGCAAAAGTCCTCCATTGCATGTGAGTGAAGGCAGAAAATCATGGGCAGATGAGGTCGAGGAAGTGACTGAGAAGCAGAGGAAGAAGAGCTCGGTATGGGATAACTTCGATATTGCAAAAATATCAAATGCGGGATACAAATTGGAGTATGTTCAACCAAAAAAGACAGGTGAGAATCAAATTGTTGAAATTGAAGTTGATGACATAAGTTCCGAAGTCGAATACTGGAAGAATGCTATAATTTGCTATGTACTTGGGGCTCATCCTCCATTTACTGTAATTCAAGGCTATATTCAAAGGATTTGGGGGAAACATGGAGTAGATCGAATAGTGATGCTAAAAAATGGTGTAATAGTAGTAAGATTCGATACAGCGATAGGGAAGCAAGAGGTCATTGAAGGAGGAATCTATCATTTTGACAATAAATTGCTAATTGTCAAGGGATGGACACCGGAGCTGGAATTTACAAAGGAAGAATTACTAACAGTTCCTATTTGGATCAAACTGCCAGACTTAGACTTTAAATATTTGAGTCAAAGAGTTTTAAGCAAGATAGGAAGTCTCATTAGGAAGCCTCTAATGGTGGACCAAAACACAGAAAAGAGAATTGGGTTGAAGTTTGCAAGGTTATTAGTTGAGGTTGAAATGAACACCAAGCTACCTGATAAGATCAGTTTCAAAAATGAGAAGGGTAATATAGTTGAACAGGAGGTCACTTATGATTGGAAGCCATCCTTATGTAAGCACTGCTTCAAATATGGCCATGAGGAAGATGTATGCAGAATAAAGAAGAAAAATCAGAAGATTGATACAATAAACAAGACAAAGGTGGTGGTAAACATACAAGGAGAAAAACAAGATCAAGCTCAGAACACAGGACAAGATAATAAGGAAACACAGAAAACAGGCAGCAATGAGGGAATGAATAATGCAGGAAAAGAGGGCAAAAAGAAGAATCAGCAATATGTAATTAAGAATCAGTGGAAGCAGAAGGAAAAAGAAGGAGAGCAGGAATGGCAAACACCTCACAAGTATGGCAAAATTGTGGAGGTGCAGCAGGAACAAATGGAGGAATCAAATTCTTTTCAAATACTAAATAAACATGAGGAGAGGATCATGAGTACAGAAGAGCAAGAAATTAGAAATGTGGGTGGCACCAACATCCCTCATAATGGGGATGGTTAGTTTTCTAAGCTGGAACACTAGGGGCCTCAATGCCCCTAATAAGCAAAAGGAGACTAAACTCCTTTGCAATGAGGAAAGGATAGGACTGATTGGATTGTTAGAAACAAAAATCAAAAAAGAAAAAATAGAGAAGATAGCAGAACAGATGTTTGCAGGATGGCACTATGTAACAAATTTGGAGCAGCACTATAATGGGAGAATTTGGGTTACTTGGAGGTCGGATTACTATCAAGTACAGCCATTAGAGAAATCAGCTCAAACAATAACATGCAAAGTAATATACACTCCATTAAAACTAGAGTTTGATATTACATATGTATATGCTTTCAATACAAAGGAGGAGAGAAAGGAACTATGGGAAAGGCTAGTTAAATATAGTAAAAGATGTATTAAACCATGGGTGATACTAGGGGATTTCAACTCAGTCCTCAATGTTGATGATAGAATAGGAGGACATGAGGTTTCATGGGCTGAAGTGGTGGATTTTCATAACTGTCTAAAAGAATGTGAACTCATGGAAATGCCAGCACAAGGAAATAGATATACCTGGAGTGATAAGCATGAGGAGAATAGAATATTTTCAAAGATTGACTGGATTTTATAAACAATCACTGGCTTAACAACATGCCAGAATGTGCTAAGATACTTGAATGAAGGTATAAGTGATCACTGCCCTACTAAGGTGAATATGGTAGAAGGAAGACAAAAAACAAAGAAGATGTTCCAATACTGCAACAACTGGGCAAAGCACCCAAACTTTTTGAAGGTAGTTAGTGAAGGATGGGGAATCAAAATAGAAGGCTGCACTATGTTCGAAGTAGTGAAGAAGTTAAAAATGCTAAAGAAGGGCCTCAGAACTATTAATGCACAAGCATCCAACAACTTAATGACTGAAGTGAATGAAGATAGAGAAAGGCTGAAGAATGCACAAGAACAACTGCAGAGGGAACCAACAAAAATGGAGTATCAGCAAATGGAAGTTGCAGCATACAAGAAGTACAGGGAATCCTCTTACCTAGCTGAAATGTACCTACAACAAAGAAGCAAAGCCACATGGATAAAATTGGGAGATGACAATACCAAATACTTCTACTCAGTAATCAAGCATAGGAAATTGAAGCAAGCAATTACACAGATGAAGGACAGCACAGGAAATTGGACAACAGATCCTGACAGAATAGCAGCCACATTCGTTGATTACTATGAAAATTTACTAGGAAGGGCAACAATTGATAGAGTGAAGACTTTCAGGAGCATAATCAGAAATGGAAGCAGACTAACAGACAATCAACAACATGAATTACTTCAGCCATTTGACAGGAAGGAGGTCAAGCAGGCTATGTTTCAGATAGATAGTAACAAAAGTCCAGGGCCAGATGGTTATGGGAGTGGTTTCTACAAAGCTGCATGGTCAATAGTGGGAAATGAAATAACTGAAGCTGTATTGGAGTTCTTTCAGAATGGGAAATTACTAAGACAACTCAATTCTACCAATATTGCTCTCATACCAAAGGTGGAGGCTCCTGAGAATGCCAGCCAATTCAGACCTATAGCATGCTGCAATGTACTATATAAATGCATATCTAAGAT